GATTTCAGCAGTCAGTCTTTTCTTCTATTCAGAGTCCATAGATTAATAAGATTTTCTGTTTTGGTGATGAGGAACAATTCAGTGTCCGGAGTTGTTGAATTCCTTGATGAAATTTACGGGAACGCTGCATTCACATGTATCTGTCCGAGGATTTCCATGAGATTCATCTTGGGTTGTTCACGCGATGATCAGCGCCTGGCGTCCCCGTATCTGTCCAGACATGGCCCATCTCCTGGCCAAACCACACCCTCTAACTTGTAAATCAGTTTCCAATATACACCAGGTCTCACCTGTGAAGGTGGGGGGAGCTCCTAATACAAACGAGCATAATCTAACAAGTATCCAATATTACATATTTCATACAAGGAATGGTGCGAATTATGCTTACTACACATAACAGGGATGATCTGCTTTTTTCCTGCTGGGAATAATCCTTGATTGTCTTTCAGTGTAACAAAGGGGTATTTTAGTAAGTTGATAAACAAAGTAAATGAATTTCCATGTGCTTTCCTAGAGACGATATTTTAGGTAAAATCATTACCTCTGTGAATGCTTAAATGAGTACTGAAAATTCAAGGTCTGTTCTCTTTAGTTTCTGCTGAAAATGGATGGTAGTTTTTAATATGGATGTGAGTGGATCCATTCTCTGCTTCTAAATCCACAATAGCTTGTCACTGGGGTATGCTGCAAGCTCTCTGAGGCCATTAATCTCTGAAGGTGGAGATGAGAGTAACCCATTCTTCTCTTAAAATGACTTTTGTTTCTCCCTAAGACTTGTTGGTATCCAGTTACCTGCATGCAGGGAATACAACAGTGAACAGAGAACAGGACAAAGTGGAATTGCAGCACCACAAACTGAATTCCAGCATTGCTCTCCCTGCTTGTGCAGATCCTTTGGCTATTAGCAGGGGTAAGTGAAAAGATATTAGTTTTCTTAATTTTTTCTGTCAGATGCTTAGGTACTATCTTATTTCATGGTAAACCTTAAAGTCTCTTATAAGCTGTTATGTCCTTGTTTTCTTGTTTAGCTTAGATGCCCATATGATGTTTGTGGTCAGTTAATCAAAGGACGTATCTTGTCAGAAGAGGTTTGCAAAGAAAATTACTTCTATATTTCAAAGTCTTTTTCCTTGGGGACTTAATTTTTCTTCACTTACAGTACTTTTCAGCCTGAACACAATTACATAGTGCCTGAGGTTTTCCAGGTATTGTATTCTCAGTTTCTTAAATTTCAGCCTATAAGAAAAAACAGCTGGCTTGGTTTTGGAGAGTTTTGCCTCTCTGTGTTGCAGAGGTGGTTAAAATAATGAATCTCAGTTGTGTCGGTCAAAGAGTAGGAGCAGCTCATGTCTGTTAAACAGCTTCCATGGCTGTAGCACATTGCTTCTTGTGAACAGTTCTGAAGTAGAAAATGTCAGTTTAAAATGGTTATCAGACTGTGGCTTAGAGATAGAAGTTTTTTCTGGATTTTCTACTGAGGATCATAATCAAACAATAATTTCTGGTGGTTTTTTTTTTTTTTTCCAACACATATTATGAACCAGTAAATGTTGACACCTAACATTTGATTGACACCATGAGAAGTAATCAAAGAAGGTACTTAGGGAAATGAAAGGCTCTCCTTTGAGGCATTTATTATCCAGGCTCTGTGTTATGGCAGTGATTTGGCAACTGGACCTTTATCTAGAGAATGTCACTCCAGTGATTTCTCCAACAGCCAATATTTGGGGCATCATTAATTGTGAGAACCCCAGGATTGATTCAGGGGTCTCATGTGGTGGTAAAGTCTCTCCTCCAAAGAAAAACTCCGCAGGCTCTTGTTGTGCAGTCTCAAGGCAGTTTATTGCTAGTTATCTAAAAGATTGTCCTCGCCCGCTGCGGCTGTTTGGTCAGCAGCCCAGGCAGAGACTCACACACTCCTGACACCCTCACTGTCCGGTGTCTTCGTCGTCTCTCCCCCCGCCCAGGGCTGCTGCTATCTTTTATATGATATATTACGTGTTATATGTTTACAGATTTCCCCCAATACCTACTATCTATGTTACAATGTGCTCTTCTACTCTAAACCAATCTGTGAGTGCCAACATCACCAAGAACATGGAGGCAAGGAAGAAGGAGGAGGAAGAACAGGATCAGGCCCACTTTCCTCCATCTTAGAACTCCTGACCCCCCTGTACAAAGTTAAAACCCCCCTGTACAGGTGTTAAAACCCCCCTGTACAATACTAAAAAATTTTCCCCTCTAATTTGTAACTACTTTTACTATACCATCTAACCCTCTGTGACTGCTTGTTCCACCTTCAAAGTTGGTAACTCATTCTATGGCTCAAACTCAAAATCACAGCTGTTTTCAGCTGCTTGCCAGGGTCTAAAATGCTTCTGACCAAGGCCTGGAACCTCTGAAAATGTCTGAGGGACATTTTGAGTTCCGACAATTAATGACACCTAGGTCTGACATTGGCCCACACAGTCTGGAGTAGACTACTGCCAGGAAATGTGGCTTAAAAGACATTCTAGATTTTGTCCACATCTTGTGACCACTCAGGCATGTGGTTGAAGTTTGGCAAAGATGGGCTCTGTGACTCGGTTCCCAGTGTACTGACGGCAGCTGTGACCCCCCTCCTGACTGCTCTGTGTGTGCTCTAACCTGGCTCTCAGGGGCAGGAGGATCTTGCATCTTGTCCACATGCACCAAATAGAAAACTTTGTGAGCCTCTTTGGTCGGGTGGTTCATAGGGATGCTCCTGGAACAATAATCCTGGGATAAATAAGCATATAATCCCGTCTCATCTCCTGAATCCACTTCTCAGATGTGCTTCTAGAAAATGAAAATCTTAAAAATCATTCACCTCTGAGAACACAATGTTAATCACATCAAAACAATCTGAAATCCAGTGTTGCTTTCATTATCCTAAAGTCAGCAATATGCTCTCCTCATTGTTCCTTTCTGTAGTAGAATTTATTGAGGCTATTAATCCTTCACACACTCTGCAGAAGTGCACTTTGTAAAGCTGAGAAAGCTGTATAGTTAATAGTGTAATTATTCAGCAAGAAAAACTGATTTGCAAGTGACCCATGTATCAGGCTGTCAATGGTGCTTAAAACTAGTTCATAAATTCCTGCCAAAGAAAGGTGTGAGCTTAGAGGACCACCCTTTTTTATAACCAAAATGGCCTTGCAAGAGTCAGTCACAGGAGCTTAATGCTGACTTTTATTTTTGCATGTAATTTACATAACCAGAGGAGAGAAGGCAAAGAAAACAGTATTTTCTGATCAAGAGCTGACAAGAAACAGCACATCTCAAAGGATCAAGCATTTACTTGACCATAGACTGTGTCCAAGGTGCTGAAATACTCTTTCTACTCTGTACCAGTTCCTGAGGATCTTCAGCAATCTGTTTTTCAGGGTCATTGTTCTTTAAGTCATACTCAGGCAAGTGACTGCCACCTGGATGTGACATGATGCCATCATTTTTCTGTGCTCTGTGAGGACCTTGTTAGTAGTGCTAAGAAAAAGCTGTCTGTGTGCCTGCTAATAATACCACATTCAAATTAAAAATCACCTGGAAACCAGAATTTACCAGAATGGAGGTTATCTATAAATGCAGGGGTTGCTGTGCAGGCTCTAGGCACTTATGTAAAGCAAGTTATGCTCTGGGAGAGAAATACAGGAGGAAGGAGTTTATTCTTATCAGCCAATGTTTCAATACGGAAAGGGCTGTTTTGCTTTACCTCTTCTCTCTTGAGAGGGGTCTGGCAGGTCTCAGGGTGGCTCTGCAGCGTCCTGGCCAGTGAGCACATCCCACAGTGTGCTGGTTATGGGGCACGCAGCTATGGATCTTGCTAAGAACCTGCTTCCTCTGCAGGGATCAGCAGTGGTGCTTTTCCCCCAACTGCGTGTGTGCAACCAGCTGTGTTATTTCAGAAGCAGCTCCTCCTGCTTCTCTACAAATTCAGGGTAGAGGTGAGTTTCTCATATTTAAGGATTATGTGAAAAAGCATGTTTCCACGAGTTTATAGCTCTCCTATGTATAGAGTGGATCCCATAGCTCAATAATTGCTGAAGTTACTGATTGCTGTAATAGGCCATTAGTCTTGAATGTCCCATCAAGTCAATCATTACCTCATATGATTTCAGACAAAAATGCTGCTTGGAAGGCTTGAGCATTTTTTAGCAGTTCTGGGATACGTAGTTGGAAGACTTTCTAGTAATTGAAGGGCTGAAAACATAATGAAAACATAAATCAGGGGTTTGCACTCAAGTATTATATTCAGATTGCTCACCTGAATTTCTGCATAGGCCACTGGGTGATTGCAAATGCATTTCATAATGTCTCCTACAAGGCTTTTTCTAGAAACAAGAGCTAATGATCAAGGTACTGAGATACAAATTGTATCTTGAAGGCATCTCCAGAACAATTTATTGAAGAGCGTAGTGGGAGAAATAATACAATGTGACAAACAGAAAGTCAAATGACATCAGATGTCAGCAGCACCTGTACAGGAGTCTAAGAAATTGATTTTCTTTAAAAGGATTGTAATAATTACCTTTTAGAAAATGAGTATAATGACAGTGTGCATAAAATATGTCTGTTTAAAACAAACAGAAGGCAATAGAAGCTCTCCTCCACAGGACTGGGAAGGTTAAGTTTCAAAAACAATTCCCCAAGATGGTCTTAGTTGACAGTACATCACCAGCTACCAGAACCTCCTTATGGGTGCTTTCAAGAATAACAATTAAATGTTATTGTTATTTAAAATTTTATATTTTTTTTTACTTTGCCATTTAGATGCTGTGAAAAGCAGCTACTGCACTCAGCAGCATAACAGGAGGTGGCTGGACATGACTGATGTTTTTGAGAAGAACCTGAAATTTTTTATTACCCCCACTAGAAATGCTAAAATTCTGTTTCACCTTTGTTCTTTGCTGACTGTACTGTTGTTTCTAGAAAGAAAAGCCTGTGTTCTCACTGTTGACATTCAAGATTTACTGAAAGAATTGTTGTGGAGTCAGTGAATATTGAAGTTTATTGTATTAAAAGAAAGTCAGAATTGTAGGTCTAGTTCAAACAAATCACTGTAAAGAATGGAATTTCTTCTATCTTCAGCAAAAGCTGAGTAAAAACTGAATATAGATCAATGACAGAACTTCCAGAACAAGGAAGTGGATTTACAGTGGATTACATCAGTGGATTTACATTTGTACTGTGAGATGAGTGTTACTCTTCAGTTATGCTCCTTCCATCCTACCTTCAGTAACTGTAGGAGCAATTTATTAAGGCAGCTAGTGGCGGAAACCCCATTATCACTATTGACATTTAGAGAAAACAAATTGCAGCACTTCAAGTTGTTGCTCAAGAAAATGCGCCTGTAAAGGATAAAAGGATGTGGCTTGCTGTGCTTTGTGAAGGGTATTTTCTGCAGGTGTCATGCCAGAACACAGGGGGCCATGTATTCCTGCTGTAGATACACTTCCCTTTGTGAGAGTTGTTCTGCTGTCCATGTGAAGAGGAGCACAGCCAACAGCTCATAGTTCTTCCATTTTTTGTGTTCTGTCACTTCAGGTCTTCACTCATTTGTTTTTTTCTGGAGGAGCTGTATAATGCAGAGGGCAGTCATCATCATGAGATCATATTTAGTGATTTAATTTCACATTCAGATCAGTGCTTTCCAAACTTTTCATGACTGCACACCCCTATTAGTTCAAAATATGTTTCAGCATAGTTCCTCAATGCATTTATGTTTTTATTTTACTACTGTACTCATAATTATGTATAGCATATAGCAGATGCAAAAAATAGAAATTGAAAAAGAATGAAATAATACTGAAATACACATAATTAAAAAATTATATCCCATTTCATCTCATCCTTTTGGAAACACTGGATCAAACCCTGTACAAAAAAACCCAAATCCCACTGTGTTTTTAAAAGCCACCACCTCTTCCTAACTTCTGAATAAACCCATGTCTTTAATGCTCATCTACTAACAATTGTAGGGTATATACCAGAAGATGTTTGAGAATCTATTAAGGGTGTAGAAGATTTTTAAAAAATTTTTGATTATTAGACTAAATGCATAATTGGGAACTTCAAAATAAATTTTTTTCTATTTATTTTGTGAGAGAGTCACAAAAGTCTTCTCCAGTTTTAGAGAGCTAATTTTGAATATTATAAAAATCCATTCAAACTGTTTTAAATGTTTAATACTTTTTAAATAAAGTGAAATTACTTCTTTCAGAGCAAATTTTCTATTTTATATGGAAATAAATTCTTAATCCTTATGTTTTGCTGAGAAAATGACAAAGAAATATTTTTCCAGTGACATACTATTTAGCTGGTGGAGCAGTTTGAATTGGAAAAACTAGTCATTTAGACAGCCCCACAAAAGCAGAATCCTTTTCACTGTGACCTTCAAGAAAGCCTGTGTTTCCCAGAGAAAAAAGCAAGGGAGCAAGGATTTCCTGGCCAGGAGAGCCTGGGAGCTCCGGGCTCAGCCTGGCCTTACCTCGGTCCCTGCTTTGCACCGAGGCACAGTTCCAGGAGCCAGGAGGCTGCAGGAACAGGATAGCTATAGTTTTCCTGGCTTTTTAGCAGGAGTTGCTAAAATTCTAAGGCTTATGATTGTATAGGACATACTCTTTCCATTTGCACTGATGTTTTCAGTGGGTTTTAGTGCTTGCTGGGAGACTAAAAAGAGCAAAATAAATAAAACCCCCTAAAGCCTGTAGCTTTGATGAAGCAGTTTCTATCATACTGGTACAGGGCTCCCTCTTGTATTTGTGGGTGGGAGAAGGTGCTTGCCCCTGCTTTTGAATGAAGGGAGCATGTCTTTACCATAACCTTTTGCAAGCACTTTTTAAAAAAACTTCAGTGTGTCCATGTGTGCCCGTGTCTGTGTGCACATACATTTACAGCTGTGTGTGAGCCTTGGTCAGCATGGTAACTTCTTTGCAGTGTAGCCCTCACACACAGTCACTCTGTGTGTGGATGGTATGCCATCGCTTTGCATCCTTGTCTGAGGAGATTGAGATGGCTTTCTTGGCTGTTTGGTGGTTTTTTTCTCATCTCAAGGGTCTGGTTTTTGGGGGAGGTGGTCACCTGTTTGTGGTAATCCCTGTGAAAAGGGGGTCGAGTCTGTGCTGTGGAGGGAGGGTATCCCAGGACTCAGACTGCTCCTCCTGTGCGCTGGAGAGGGGCACTGCCAGGGACAGGCTTCTGTCTTCCCTGACATACTGACCCGATGCTAGATCTCAGTTTAGAGATTGGACTAATCAGACCTACTTCTTAATCTGATGCAAATTCTGTAATAATTTGGGATTATTAAACGCACTTTTCTCTGAGCAAAACAAGTTAGCACTTCCAAAATACATATTTGGGTTTTGAATAATCAGAAACTTTTCCCTATTTCGTATTTCCCTCCTCCTTTTTGGGGGAATTAAAATGTCCACCTGAATCAGTGAACAATGTAGAATTTGGAGACTATTTTTTCAAATTAATTTCATTCAGATATATTTTTTATGCCTATACCAGCCTAACTGTACTAATTAGGATGCTTGGAGCTTCATGTGGAGGCTCAAGAAGGACTTCCCCTAACTTTCCTGAGGACGTTGTTGTATATGTTGGTGCCATTTCAGAGTAACATTGAAAGTCTTCCCTTATGGTATGAAGCACATTGGAACATACAGAGGACAGTAGGAACAAAGAACATTATGTAATACTGGGAAATGTTTGCTAAACTGGGTCACTGTAATGAAATGAAAAATTTTGTTTGCAGCCATTATTTAATCACCAGCTCAAACCACTTATGAGTGAACATCATTGCTTGCATCAGGGACAACTTTATTATCATGCTGCCTCTAGAACTGCTCAAGATTTTTCTTTTGATCCACTGGGAGCTGTTACAAAACACTTGTAATGCTGAGTTTACATGAGGAGGATGTATACAGATTCTTCATATGCTCTACTATACAGAAAAGTGTATCGCAAAGCCATTTAATACAAGTTGTAAAATAAACACAGTATGGTATTCTTTCATTTGTTTAAAAAAGCTTTCAAAAGGGGAGAGTTGACATGGTATAAGTCCTTGTGCCACCAAGGAAATTACCATGAAACTGAAGTTTTTATACTGCCCTTCATTAAGGGCATTGCCACAGCCCCCTCATGGGTATGATACAAACTGACTTAAAAGGCTGCAGCTTCTCACAGAAACTAAACATCAATATCCTGTACTAGGAGAAGTTTTTCTTGTCCTAGTTTCAAGGATTTATGTCTCTGTCTGTTTGGGACACCATTGCTTGAAACACAGAAGAAACACTAAGCTGACCAGAAAAAACAGCCATCCTCCAAGAAAAGAGTTACTTTTTCAGTAACATATTGACTTTAAAATTGATTATAAATCCAAACGCAATTACTTACTTATGAACTTAAGTTAAAGCAGATTGCAGGGTGCTTTGGATTTAAATAGGTGGCAATACATATCCGTTATTCTGTTCAATATGCTAATGGAAAACGAAGTCAGAATAATGAAGCATCCAATGAACAAGAAACCTTGAGAAACAGTATCTGATCTATGTTAGCTTTCTTAATTACAGGATAGCAGTAGTGAAATGCAGCCTTTCGTCAGATAACATTTCATTTAGCAAAAACAGAGAACCAGGACACCTACAGTGCTGGAAACATAGCCAAGGTTCTGCAGAAGTAAAATGGCTGTGCAAAACAAAACACCGCATATGAGGCTAGAGGTGGCAGGAATTATTCTTGTGGCAATCTGTTGCTGAAAAACTCAGTACTCAGGTCCCCTTAGATGGCCCTGCAGGCTTGCAAAGTTGACTTGCCAAATACACACAATAATGAAGAATAATGGTGCTACCAAAAGGCAATTCACTGTCCACAAAGGAGACATCAGAGGTATGTGGTGTTCCACCAAAGAAATCCCAGGAGCGATGGCAGTGGGTTGAGACAGATGATCTCCTTGATGTGAGGCTGTAAGAATCTGCTCACACCATGGATGTTATGTCTTGTACGGCTCTAGTCACTGTATGGGTAGCAGTGGGCAGAGAAAAGGTCTGCCACCAGTCAAAAAAACCCCAGAAAAATCCAAGGAAAGTCAGCTTTCCTAAGTGACAGGGTAGGTGAGGTTGTTAGAAATTAACACCAATGTCTGTTGTGGGGAAAAGAGATAGAAACCGATAGAAACCATAATAAGAAATAGAATGAATGGACACAGAGATGAAAATGATATTCTGGGGAAAAGTCAGTGTAGCTCAGAAGACAAGTCAAACACCACAAATCCATGGCAGTTCCCTGAAGGAGTAGCTAAGCAGGTAGATAAGATAAACCCTGATGATATAAAGCCGATTTAGATTTTAGAAAAGGCATTTTACAAGGTACCTTTCCAGTAATTAAAAAAAAAACAAAAAACCACTGTATTTGTTGAAGGACTAAACAGTCAGTCAGGCATCCAAAGAAATGTTCAGGAGATAAACCAGTGTGATAATTAAACTTGCATGTGAGATAAAGTTATTCAGGAAGACAGTGAAGTGGACCTGGATGTGAATATGAGATGAAATCTCTCATGATACTGAGTGACTGGGGTATAAAATGTCAAATGAAATTGAATGTAAATAAAATGCAAAATAATACACATGAGAATGAATAATTCCTTATAAGTGCTTGGTTCTGACCTGAACACAAACATTAACGGAAGTTTATCATGGGCAATTCAGAAAATTTCTGGAGTTTTGGTCACTAATGATCTCAATAAAGAGGAATGTTAAAGATTTTGGTTGGGAATAGAGACCAGAAAGATATTGTGTCCTTATATTTACTTAGGATGCACACACATGGCCTAAAATGTACTGTTCTGATGAAACTTAAGATTCAAAAAGAGGTAGTAAAATGAGCTGTAGTACAGCTGGAAGTAGAAAGTGTGATCAAAGATTGATTGACTCCTCAGCCTCGAGAAGAGCTTTTGTTTTGTAGCTGATGAGTGGTTTGACATGTAATAGGGAAAACCTGTCCCTCAGGTGATTCCTGAACTTGTTGAAGGCAGTGTACAAATCCAGACTGACCAAGGGGGATAGCAGGAAACCTGCCCACCCTGTTCTGTGTTGAGTGAGATCTTTGCAAAGTGCTGTTACAGGCTGAGGAGAGGGAGAGAAGTGTCAGAAGTGGAAAGAAGGGAGTAGTGATCTAAGAGTGACTGAAAAGTGAAAAACGTCTCCAGACTTTCATGAACAACTTTTTTAGTTGTTTGAAATGATCAGCAGGAGGATACATCTATATACTTGGAGCACTTGCAAAATGGGCTCATCTTCAGAAATGAACAAAAAAGGAAATCAATGTGCTTTGGATGCTTGGGATAAGTCCTTCATCTCCCCCTACTATCCAAGGCAAGTACTGTGGGGTGTGAAGTGGCAGCCTGGGGCAGTTGTGCCAGTGCTTTTTAAAAGAAATGGAATTTTACGAATGATTGAAGGACACTGAAGATATATTAAATATGACTTGCACAAGCAATACCTCATCTGCTTCCCCAAGAGTATCCGTGATTACATGCAGTCTTGTTTGGAAGTCCCACAGTGGGAAGAAGCAGGT